TATGTATATATATATATATATATCTCATTTTAAATACTAAAATTACAATTAAAAAATAAAAATTTGATTCAAGAAATTCAAGTTTATGACTGCTATATATTAATTATCATAGAACTACGAAGGTTATAAAAAAAGAATTCGTTTTAACAGCGATGCAACGACAATGCGTAACCAAAGCATTGATTATAATAAGTACTACTTTAAATAAAAAATTTTCAAAATATTTTTCTAACAGATTCTTCATTTTATACAATTTTTATTTAAAATTTATGAATTACACCCATATTAACATTTACTTACTCATTCTCTCCTTCTATATTTTTGTAGCGCATCTCAAAGAAGTTTTCTTTATTAATATCCAGAAAAGTACGGAATGATATGTTTAACGCATAATGTCCCTTTACTAGATCTTTATCGAAAGTTAAACAATACATATGATTTTCATTGTAATATGCAACTCTATTCGGTACAATTCCATAATCTGAAGTTTGATTATGCACAGTAAGTGTATCTAACTCTATATGTGATTTTTGTGCGTGGAAATATATTTGACGTGATGAAAAAAGCAGTCTGATGGAAATAATGCAAATACCGCGGAAAAATTGTTTGTTACTTTCTTCATCCTGTTGTTCTAATGTAATCATATAGTGATCTGTTTTCACGTAATTCGGTAACTCAAATCCATAATCGCTACGTTCATAATAATTATTTATATTAAGGGATTTTGCGTAGTTTAATATTAATATAAGTAATAACGGGAATCTTGAAAGATTCATACTGCAATTTTTGATTTATTTTATCTGTAAAAATATATTTTTATTGCAATAAAGCAAATATTAATGTACAACATAGATTAAGCTTTTCCATAATTTTTATACAAAATTGTTAGATGAACAATTGCACAATATTTAATAGGTACAATATATTCGTTAAACATTTAATAAAAAATTATTGAATATAAATATAAACATAACATTGTTAATGTCATTCAATACCATGTAATTACATTATTGTTTATAATGTGGCTATTTTCAAGATTTATGCTTAATATAAAAAGTCTTTGTTTCATTCTTCATGTCAAAATCAAATTAAAATAATATTACATATATAATATAGCTAAAACTTGTTTCTATAACTGTTACAGTACTGCATAAACTGAATTATATAAATTATAGAAATATAGAATAATAATATGTTAAGTGTGCGAAATAATAAATTTTGTTAATTAATTAATAATACAAATTAATAATTAATGATACAAATATGTCAATTTAAAATTTGCAAAATATAAGCGAAGCTAGTTTTAACTGTAAAGTCTAAGATGTAATTGAATAATACAGTTACATAAATATATAAAAAATATAAATAAGTGAAAAGTACAGGCAATAACAACAGAGAATAACATACGTAGAGAATTTTTTCTTAGAGTTTACCTTGAAAATATGATATATGATAGTCGTGGGACAACATTGTATTTCAAATGATTTTAATGTAAATTTTTTTTATTCATTAATTAATAAAATTACAATAATGTTTAAAATAATTAATTAATTTTACTAAAGTGCATGATAAAAATCTTTAAAATATTGTATTGTACTACAATTATCATATTTTCAAGGCTAATTTTAAAAGAAAATTCTCTCTATGCAGATTTTAATTTATCAGAAACCGTGTATATCAGAATATATTATTGAAATCTGTCTATTTTCTGTTCTTATCGCTCGTTTTTTTCAATTGTGATTTAAGTTAAATAAATCATTTTCAATTACATTGGTATAAATAGATATTATTCCAAGAAAACAATTAAGTACAAAGTTAAAAAGTTCAAATCATTGTAAACAACTAACGAATATGCTGATTTAAATAGAACTAATATATAAAATGCATAATATATAAAAGATTTGGTCGTCACTATCAATAGAATTAATAGAATTTGAATTAATTCTCTTTCTTGGCCTTGCAGTTATGAATTTCACCTAAATATATCTTTCTAAGTGTGGAAGAAAGAAAGAGGATCAGTCCAATTGTAATGTATTAAGCAGATCAATTGTGGTGTTTTAAACTTTTACTTTTATTATTATTATAGCAATCAATTTTTATTTTTTTAATCTTGTGACACTTTATTTTATTGCGTTGTATTATAATATGCATTATCTTATTTTAATTCTGTTTATATTATCATGTACAGAATAAATCGTTAGTTGTTTATAAAAAACCTAATTTTGTTTTTAATTATTCTCTTAGAATAACATCTATTTAAACAGATTAGAAGACTTAGCATAAAGTTTCATTTATATTTTGTTAATTTTAAATTAACATATTAAATTTTTATTATTATTAATTAAAGATCTATCCTTTGCACATTTTTAATCATTCAAACATATTATTACATTGTTTTATAATCACAAGCAGAATTGCTATAATAAAATTATTTATTTGTATAAAAATATAGTTCAATCTTATAATATAGTAATAACTTAATTTTAAAAAGGTGCAATTGATACTGATAACTGCGTGAAGATAATAAACAGAACTGCCTTTGTTTTCAGTAAATTATTTGAATAACACAAATTATTTAAATAACGTAATTATTTAAATATGCTTTACATATTTTGTTGTACATTTAACGCCAAATTCTGCAAATTTTTTTCTTTTTTGAAACTTACCCTCTATATGTGTTTAAGATAATTAAGGTAAAAGTCTTGTAATAATTAACAATAGCTAATGAATATTATCACAACGAATTTAGCATTACGATCTTGCTAGTTCGAAAGGACACCGCAAACTGATGATGATTCTTTCAATATTGATATTATAAGTATTCAGTGTAGCATTGACTAAGGTCATTAATAGATGTCGTGATGATAGACGTTATTATGTTGTATTCATATTTAATATCGACAAATAAACCTATATTTCTAGCTTTATGCTTTCTTTGGAAAATATTTAAAAAAGTAATATACAAATTATAGTCTGTAATTATACTTCAACTTATATAATATCTTGTATAACTTTAAAAAGTATCCAATAAGAAATATTTCTACATAACTATATTCTTTAATTGATTTTATATCGAATAGATTAAAATCTTGCCACCGTATTGGCGGTGGTTCTGACGGTGCCAGCATCGCAGTCAATACGATAGCAAGATTCTAATCCAACTAGCAATCCAGCTAAACAAGTCCAGAAAAACAAGCATCGTATGCCATCGGCTTGAAACGATTAAGGTAAATACTTTGTAATGTAACAGTTAACAATAACAGCTAACGAACATTATCATAACAAATTGTTAATAACGAAATATTTTAGCATACATTGCAATCTTGTAAGTTCAAGAGAGCACCGTAAACTGATTATTGTTTTAATGTGATATTTTAACATATATTCAGTTAGCATTGTGTCAACGATTAAGTTCCTTAATAGATATCATGATAGTTGATAGTTGCTATTATAATATGTTGTATTTTAAATTGAACAAATAGATTTGCAATTTTTCTAACCTTGTACTCTTTTCGAAAAATATTTAAATAATCAAGAAATTGTATTTCATAATTATATTTCAATTTACGTAATATTTTGTATAATATTAGAAAATATCCAAAATAGAGTTTTCTTCGTAATTATACTTTTTGATAAATTTTAAATCAATATGTCTAACAACTATATTGTTACAAAATTATTATTTTAAAAAAGGTAAAAAATGTGCCAAGTAAACGCGCTTGTTGAAAATAATTGTTATACAACCATATTTAAAACACAAAATTCAATATCTTCTTATATTTTTATTTATTACTGCTTATATCCCAATCAAGTATATTCCAATTCAAGTGATAGAAACTTTAATTCTTTAAAAAAAACAATGATACACAACATTGCGCTAATTAAAACAAAGTATATAAAATAATATTTTCTAACTCAACTTAATAGATATATTCTCAATTTTCCACTGGAGAAGAATTCTGTTTCATCCTAAATATGATAGTGCTTTTTCGTTTTAACTTAAGATTATAAAATATTTTATATAAAAAACTTGCCGCTGCTATCTTAATATTTGCTCTAGCTCAATAAGCGGTTATACATATATTCATGATCGTACCGACATTCTGCTGCGAGCTCCTGGTGTGAAGCAATCGATAAGGCACAGCATCCGGTCTGTAAAAAGTACGTGCCTTGCGTGCTTGGTTGCTTGAGTTAATAAGCAATGTGAATGACTGAAAGATATTTAACCGCATTAAATAATGTTCACAAGTGCGCTATAAACTTAGTTTATTTGTTGGTTATATTAAAATACATAATTTTTCTAACATCTTCCGCGATCGGATAGTAAAAAATTCTTAGATTATCTAGAAATACGACACTATTATGGCCCCGATATTTATAATTGATTTTTATATTTAAAAATCTTATAGCAAATTCATCAGATCGCACTAGTAGTGCGTACTAAGTGCGAACTTTTTTAGTGCCACGCATTCGGCTTGTGCGGACTGTTTCAGTACATTAAGATTGTCGTATTCGGCAAATATAAACTGAGCCAATGTAGTGCTGAATTTATATTCGGACCAACCGAGTAAACTGAATGAGTTCAAGAAATATTGCATTAACGTTTCTGATAGTGCAATTTGGTATAGCACTGAAGTGGTTCTGCACTCGCACCACGTCAGGGCAACATTAAAGCGAACTCAGTGCATGCGTGCCGAATTCACCAGTAAATATTGTCTTAAGATATCATAAACCAATCATAGAGTTATATCTTAAGACATTATCTATTTAAGACGGTTTTAAAATAAGAATAATTATCTATGAATAAATTTTAAGAAATAAATTTATTTTTAATGCAAGATAAGTAATGTAAATATGATATCCTCAAAAAATATATTATTTTATTTATCAATTCTTGTTAATTAGGCAATTATACATGTTAGTTAAATTTACATGAATTTATACCTATCGGAAAATACACAGAAAGTACATCGAAAGTACGCCTATCAGTACAATTGAATCGAAAAATTATGCAGTTATGCATAATTTTTGACAATAATATAAAAATATATTATCTAATTTTAAGCTTGACAGAGAAAGCATAAACCAAGATAAAATAATAATTTATGACATGTTTATACATTACATAAGATATATTTGCAATAGTACACCATAAGTGGTACATATGAAAGGAAAACATGCAGATTAATACAACGTAGCCTCGGTAGAACGTATGTAGACGCATGCGAAGGAAAAATAGCTATTATTTTCATATCCCCATCGTTTTCGCTCGAAAAAACCAGGAAAGAAGTTTCCGCGTGGTTGTTGTTAGGGAATTCACCGATGCCGAGCAACATATTTGCGATCGGGCGGTAGCTTTTGAAGTAAAAAACGGCACGTAAAGTAAGTATACTAATTGAGAAAAATGCAAGCAGCAAAAAATTTATAGATAATATACATTTATATTAAAAACAAAAAAATTATGATTTTATACTTTATAATTTTGTTATATATTATTTACTGAAAAGCTTATGTATAAATTGTTTATATAAAATCTTATATTTTCCTTTTTTCTTTATATAATATATTTTTTATTTACTCAAATAAAATATAATGTACATACATTATTCTCTCTTTTGCAAGTAAACAATATTTTCTTATGTATTATGTTTAATATTAATGCGAGAGTCATTTGTCAAACTATTAATTCAAGGAAGCTAAACGATAACGTTAATTAGATTTTAAATAGACTTTGAGCAAAGTCAGTGCAGCATGTCGTGCAAATCGTGTCCAAATCTGTCGGAACTCGGGATGATGGAAGACGGACAGACGAGGACGCGATTGACTCGAGCATAGAATGAAGAAGAAGAAAAGGAGAAATGGAATGTAGCGAATGAGGTTGCTGCCGTTGGAGGCAAACAACTGCGGTCTCCTGATTCCTTCTGGCAAGTTGCTTTCGAATACCACGGAATGACGGAAAACGGTATCCATTCACATTCTCATAGTGACTAATTCGCGCTGTTTCTTACGTGACGCACATGCATGCGTTTGAAACGGTTATGTATCGCGGTGTTAAACAATTTGAAAGCTATCATATTTCTCGAACGTGAAAATTTCATTACTCAGTTATCTGATTCTTTTATTGTCAGATAGCAAATTTTTAAGAACAATTCAATTAAAACTTTAATTTTTAATACATCGATATCGGGGATATATTTGCAGAAAATAAATTTTACAAACAATACTTTTTTTTGTCACATTGATATATGTAATATATATGACAATTATTATTATTATTATTATTATTAGGCGTTAGGAACTCGAAAGCTCATTGCCGCAAATACCAAATCCCGCCACTGTTCCCGTCCCTGAGCCAGATCCCTCCATTTGTGACCCTCGTACCCCATTTCGTTAAGGTCCATTCTAATATTTTCTTCCCATCTACGTCTTGGTCTACCCAATGGTCTTTTCCCATCCGGTTTACCAATAGATATATATATAGATATAGATATAGATATATGACAATTAAAACAGTTAAATTATAAATTATAGAGAATATCTTTTTTTTGTAAATTTATTTATTGTTTTATTAAAAGATACATACAAGGAATAATAAACTATTATTTATTTGATTAAAAAAAGTTATTTCTAATGTACATAATTTGTTTTGTACATTGTGATTTTGGTATTAACCGAAATTAAACTCTAATGTATAAAATTTAACGAAACAGTAGTAAACAGTAGTAACAGGTAATAAAAACAAAAATACAAGTTATAGAAAATATCTTTCTTTTATATAGATTTATTTAATGTTTTATCTCAGAAGATACAAACGAAGAGTAACAAACTTATTTATTAGATTACAAAAAAATTATCTCTAATGTAATTAATTCGCTTTAGTTGTACATTATAATTTTTATTCTAAGTGAATAAATTAATCTATAATGCATAAAACTTATTGATACTTCTGTAATGATTCATGTTTCCTATATTAACTGTTAAGATAAAAAAATATCTTTTACATTCAATTGTCATGTCATCAAGATGTAGAAGTGAAATTATTATATTAAGTTGAACAAGATGTAGAAGTGAAATTATTTTAACATGATTGATTTAATTTGTAAGCAAAACATTTATACTAATTGCTGCATTTGATGAAGAGACGATAGCAGGGTTTTTCTGGTCGGACCAGAGTTATAAGGGGTTTATCGTCACGCATGGTTATCCACGTGTCCGAATTTAATCGTATCATGTAAAAATCATCGCGAGATGGAACAGTAGGCTGATTAAACGATTGATATTTGTAATCAATAATTCCATTCGTGTAACCGCTTTTTCTGCACACTTTTACTGCCTCTTCCTGTGACGTAACTTTTGATGGATAACATAGAGTATGCCATACACCGTAAGAGCGTTGCACTACTTCGCCTGCAGCAGGTCTGAAAAGCAATTAAATTTATAGTCAAGTTAGTGAACGTATGTTCATTGCTCTATTTCGTCAACATTTAATAACATTGTATATCATCCGTATAGCAATGATGGCACAGCTCATTTCAGTCAAGTCTCACCTGTCATCTGAGAGTTGTTGTATCCCTCTGCAATCTGTTTCGTCTTCGCCTTTCGGACAGTCATTATCGCCATCGCACACGAAATCTTGCGAGATGCAAGTATGATTTTTGTTTTCTCTGCACATATAATGTACATTTTGTATATATATAATTACTAATTGTAATAATTTTTACAAGATTGGTCATTTATTTAGCAATACTTTCTAAAATGCTATCAGATATATGAGAGACATTTTATATGGCATATATTAATATTAACAACTTTGATAGAGCTATAGACGACTAAATATAAGTATATTTAAATAAGAAAATTCTTTCATTATAATCTGTATATTTAATTAAAAGAATCGGAAACGACACATAGTTTTGGCAAAAGTACAGATAGAAAATTTATAGATAAAATAAATGCTTACATTTATTGTGTCGATTTCAATATTATATAACAATTATTTACTAATTTATTAATTATTTATTAATTTTAAGTTAGTTTCTCACAATAATTTCAATAAATTTTGTTTATTAGGATTTATATACTAAGTGAGTAAACTATAATGCATAAAACTTAAAGATACTTCTTAAAATGATCCGTGTTTCTTATATTAACTGTTAAGATATAAAATATCTTTTACATTCGATTGTCATATCATGAACAAAATGTAAAAGTGAAATTGTATGAGAACTGCCAAAACATGACAATTATTGAAATTTGATATCTATGTAAGAGAACAATCGAAAATTTACAATAAAATTACATAAACAAACTACGGCCCCCGAATAAGTGTAATAGATCATTGACTTGCATGACAAGAGAATATATATGAGCGATTTAATTACAATTTTATTTAACAATTTGCCACATTAAGCTTAAATCAAATTTTACGGAAAGAGTGTGAGCGCAATTTGAATTTATTGTAATAATTTGCAAACATATACATAAGTTTTAATTTATTTAATTGAATATGTAAAATTACTGAGGATGACTAATATGAAGTCGAACCGTTTAACATTAACTTTTATTATGTTCTATTATTAAAGCAATATTTTTAAAAATTAATGTTTTTTACATTGATATCCGGTGCAGGTTTATATAATACTTCTTATAGATAATTATTTAATATTATCAATCTTACGTATTGCATTTGAAACTGGTAATGGTACATTGACATTCTTCTGGCGATTCGTCGGTTTTATCGAGACAATGTCGTACCCCGTCACACAATCGTTCTGGCATAGTCAATTTTAAATATTCTGCGCAGCTACATATTACAGGCTCATCCGCTCCGTTCGAGCAATCCACTTTTCCATCACAAAATGCGCTCTTCGAGATACACTCATCATTCCTGCATTGTATCTCCGACTTGGCGCATTCTACACAAAAATGCATTTTAAGAACATGTGCACAAAGAAGAATTAATCAACAATTAATTAACTACTAATAGATTTGATAAAACAAGTCTGCATGGTTTTTGCTGTTTGGAAAAGGATAATAATTTCTCATAGTTTTTGATGCATTGGATCCGTAAGTGAAAATGTTCTATCAGATTTTTGAGAAAAGTGAGATTGAAACACCTAAATACAATGCATTACACTTCTAAAACTAGGACGCAGAGGTTTATGCTCGCTGTAAAAGATTCGATATTGTTATTTTTAAATTTAATATCCAATCATTAATTTGAGCCCTTTTTGAAATATCTCGCAGATCGAGTTAGTCAGCTATGAATTTTCAAAAATAGTCAGAAACACGTTTCTCAGACATTTTTCTCTCAGCTCATTTTTCTCAAAAGTTTCAAAAGAGCATAAAAACAAATCAAATTGCAGACCTGTGTAATTAATAATTCTGCTTACAAAAAAAAAATAGCAGCAATTATACTATATAAGTAACAATTACATGAGTAATTTATATGTATGTAGAATTATTGCACATGCAGTTGCAATATAACTATTAAAATTTAATTGTGTACATTTTATTTTAATTCTACATTATTCAAAATGACTTACTACTATTGGTCTCGTTTCTTCTTCTAATCTGTTGCACTTGTAAACACATTGCATTCTTCTCATCCGCACCGTCTCGGCAATCTGTCATACCGTCGCATACCTGATTCCAAGGGATGCATTGTCCAATGTTGCACCGAACGCCATCACATGCGGCTTCAGGCGTTGGTTGCGACACTTTCTCTGCAGTATCATAATGAAAAAATTCAATCACATTAAATTATCTTATTGTTTTGGGTAAAAATACAATCAACATAAAGTTAATTGCACGATTAAAAATTAATGATGTAAATGTGTCTTTATATTGGGTCGGAGAAAAAGTTTCTTCGTATTTTTTAATTTAAAATTATATATATTGTACAATATCTTCGTCAAAAATGAACAAAATTTAAATTTAAAAAAAAAAGGGTTTTAAAGCTTGAAATCTGTACTTTCGAAAGGTTACTATATTTTTTGAGTTTCTGTAAGTTTGATAATTTTTATATTTAAAAAACTACGAGCTGAAAAAGATGAAAAATTTTTTTTCATTTTGAAGGTTTTTCACGTGTCCAAAAAAAATTTACGAAAATTGTCAATTGCCTATCGTGAAAGCTTGAAGCTTTCCCTACAAAATCATTTTTTAAATATATCCTATGATTTTTTGTTCCTAAGTTATTCGCGAATTAAGTAAAAAAGCATTCTAACTTTGATTGTTCATTTAAAATGCTTCGATAAAAATCATTATACCGCAATTTAAAAAAACAGATTCTTAAAGCTGATACTTTGCTCTAACGAATGATATAATTGTAACAAAAATTTTGTAACAATAAATAAAAAATTTTCGCAAAAATTTTTTTAAAATACGAAGGAACTTGTTCCTCGATCTAATATTTATGCATGATAGCTTACCTAAAGTTTGCGTGAGATAAGCATGGATATAATCAATGCTTGTCAAGTTCCGTATGCTTCTGAAGCTGCATGGGCCGTCGTCTTCTTGAAATACAGCTACGGGATACCATCCTTTCTCGCTGCGACAAAACACCGTACCGTTCCAATTCGAAGAAGTTCCATTAGTCTAAATACATACAAAAGATAAAATCGAAATTTGATTGAATATTTTGCATTGTCAGTTAATGAGTGAAAATAATCGTAGTTCAATTGTTATTATGAAGCTTTACCGGACATTTAGTGCCTGAAGCTTCGACGAAACAACGATAGCACTTGTCACAATTTTGGAGGATTGGTTGAAGAAAGATCGATTGTGTCACGTGTTCGTTGTCTGTACCGATTGCTACACATAAATCGCCTTTTGCCGGTGGATATATTCTGCAAAAATTTAACAAATAGTTATAAAAGAAAGAAAAACGAGAAAAGAAACCAATATTAATATGATAACCGATGAATAACCAATTACTTTTTCTCTAAAAACAGCGGTCGCACGTAACGTGTAAAATTTACTGCGGTTTTCAAGTGTAGCAACGAGACATTTGTTCTTTCCACGTCCCTGATTTCGTCAACGATCGATATCTGTTGATGAGGTCCGTCCACGTAGAGAAACGAGCGGCTTTGGCCGAGCAGAGCTGTCGTATAATTCACTGATAATCTACAATTTATTCTTCATTATTACATCTTTTCACTGATATTTATTAAGAGAATCTGATGAAAAATAATTGTAATGAAGAACGATTAAATTATACATAATCTACGCTTGACAGATGCATGGAAAGAATAATTTTGCTAAAGTATTTAATTAAAAATAAATAAACACAGACTATAAATAAATTTTAGACATCAAAATAATTATATAAAGAACTCAAACATGCGATGAACAACGCTGCAAGAAGGTAATCTAGCAATCAGTATGAACCTAATAATTGTTAATTATAAATGATTCAAAGTTATTTTTAGATCTCTATCTTTAGCTAAATTTTTATATTTCGAGCACAAAACTGTTCTTCTTCCATGTGCATTTTTGAGATAAGAAAGTATTTTGAATAAAACAGAACTCACACTTACCTGATAGCTTCCGTGCAGCTCGAACTGGACAAAAGCCAGTTTGATTCCAGGAGTAAGGCCGAGCAGTGATAACGGCCGTCAACGAAGATGGCCGCCAACCACGGCCACAGGTAGGTATGATTTCCGGTTCTCGGATCGATGACCACATGCGAGTCTGCACTGCTGCTTAAAACCGGTCTACAACGAAACCGTAACGTCGTACACATCCCGCCTCCCTGACTCTCCGCAACATGCTGTGGTAAAGGTTTATAACCCGTCGTATCGTCCCACCTCCGCGAGAATCTTGTTTCTAATATCGTTTTGTTCACAACGGCCTTATCCAATGATTGCAAACCCCTGCACACAATTCATGTCTTTTACAATTATTATTTTTTTATTATATAGCGAAAATAGCAATAATTAATGTATTTAGGAAATTGTACATGAACGAATAAATCGGTCATTTTAGAAATTTTATAAGTAAATTTTTGTTCAAACTTGAGATATTACAGGATTTAGAAGATCCTGAAAGGAGAAGTAGATACATAGTCTTAAAAAATTACATTAATTAAGCATTTTTTTCCAATATATTGGATCTACAGATTTGTATTCACATCAGAAACAGTGAATCGTAATTTATGACTTTCATTTTCCTTATATTATGTCTTTGTACAAATATATTTAACAATAAATTACTTCAGCGATTTAACATACTGGAATTGAATGTTACAAATTTGTTTTTTTTTTATAAATTGAGTTATTTTTTTGACAATCAAGTTAAATATCTTTTATAGATTGCAAGTTATTTTATAAAATCCTTAAAGATCTATTATTATTACATTAATATTAGAGTTTCTTAATTAAGAAACTATGTTATATGTACAAAACTTTTTTCTAATTTTTTTTTCAGAAGCAACATAAGTCATTATTTTAAAAATTAGTTTTTTTTATATTTCATTCACTTAATGTACGAGATAATAAGATATTTTTTACATAATTTTAATTATTTTTAGTACGACAGTTATAAAAACTAAAACATTTCTTTTATTTCTCCAAAAGTTAGATTTTTTTAATAGAAGCTTTCTTAAACAATTAATTTAAATATTAGACTTTTATTGAATGGCTAAACATTTATTGAAAATCAAACATACGTGAATCCGAGATATTTGCATAAGTTTTCTCCTATTATCGATGTTTTTGTGCTATTCTCCAATATATCTGCTTGAAGACATTCTATATGCCATGTTTCGTTGTAATATCTACTAAGCAAACCTTCTGTGTTTAAAATAGACCAATTATCACTATCTACGTTAACGTATTCCCCGTTTGTCAATGCAACTGAAAAAAGAATATTGCTATCAATTTCACTTTATATTTTTTTAAGCAAACATTATACAAAACACAAACTTACTACAGTCAAGCTCGTCCTCGCTTAGAGAGCAATCGAAATTTCCGTCACACCTTTTCGTTATCGAAATGCAACCCCCACTCATACTGCAATGAAACTCGTTATTCTTGCATATACCTGAAACGATCGTTTCGTTAGATCGTCGAAGCGAAATCAACGACGAAATTATGTATAATTGAATACCACAATCTTTTTCGTCTGTTTCATCGTCGCAATCCAGATGTCCGTCGCAAATCGCTGTGGGTTGAAAATTCAACAGATAATCTCTACAAGTACAGTCCTCTTCATCAGTTCCATCCTCGCAGTCTAAGTGTTTATTGCACCTTTTATTGATTTTTATAGTTTGGATTATACTGAAAATGAAATAACATTAATTCAAAAGTCTGAATTTTAATTAGGTCTTAATTCTAATGTCAAATAATTCAATTTTTGTTGTATGCAATTATGTTTATTAAAATATATTTACTATTCGTTCATTTTTATACAAATTATAATCCCGCTTTGATTCTTTAAAATTAATTAAGTATTTTAGTTAAGTCTTAATTAACTCGCCTTTAACCTTTCGGAGTCGGCGACGGATTTATTAGACCTACTTAATTATAAATCTCTTTATCAAAAATGTTAAACAATTAATTAAATTTTCTTTTTGTTATATGCAAATTTGGATTATTATTATTGAAATATATACTTACAATTATTTATTAATTTTTATGTCATTTTGATTCCTTGAAATTAATTAGTACCCTTTAATTAATATAAATTAAATGGGTCGTACAAATCCAGTGTCGATTTCAAAGGATTGGTACTGAAAATTATAATATTTTGTAACTCACTTTGTGCAGGTAAATGTTGATCTAACGTTCGACATCGTTATCTCAGGCGTAGTCTCGTAGGCATCTATGATATTTGAATTTTCGTTGTTGTAAGTCTGTGTTTCTGTCTGATAGAAGAAATAGGAAGAAGTAGAAATAGGAATTGTTTCTGTGTTCACTTCTGTAACATAAAAAAGTCGATTAAATTCTGATATTATAATATAAAATTAATTTTCTATTATTTTATTAAGAATCCAAAGCTTGACTATCATAAAAGGGATTAGCATGATTTACCATTTTTTTCTGTGATATCACTGGATACTTCTGTAGCTTGTGATTTTATAAATGTATCATTGGAATTCCCGTATTTCGCATAATTTGCTTTCAGAATTTGACATTTAATTTCGTCTTCTGCGTCTAGACAATTTACAATTCCATCGCAATGATTCTTTATCGGCAAACACTTTTCTATGCTCGAATGACAACTAAATCCTGGACACGAATCTAAGGGTTTATTCCCATAAAGAGATGTCACTCGATTATCTACAAAATAAAATATTTTATTAAAATTTAAATAGTAAACACAAGCTCATATGGAGAAAGCATTTTCTATTAAAACATTTTCGTATTTTTCGTTAAGTAAGACTTACCTAAGATTTTAAACGTTTGCAGAATCCAATCTACGTAATAACTCACTTTCATGTAAACACCGGGCTCTTCAGGACGTCCGCATCCCTCACCATGACTGATTAGGCCCGCCGCATACCACTGTGATTCTAAATTTAAATTTCTGCAAAAAAGATTTTTGGAGTTGTAAAAATATTCAACGCTTCATTTTCATTAATTATTACCTGCACATTAAGGGACCACCACTATCGCCCTGACAGGCATCGTAGCCACCCGCAGGATATCCTGCGCAGATTGTAGCGTTATTCTGATCAGCCAAATGCTTACATGATGATAAAATCGGCACTTCTACTTCTCGCAAATGATCCGCTAAAACAAAATTTTATTTTTAATTAAAGAAGGAGCAGGTTACATTTTGTTTTTGAAACGTTTGAACGGTTTCCCACAAAAACCAAATAAGCTTATTTTTTTTTAATCTTAGTTATGGTGTCAAATCGTTCAAGTGTCACGTGAACAGCCTTGTTTCAGCAAGGATGAAACAGAAAACGGGAAATATGTCCGAAGAAAAATTATCATATTTATATCATCAATGGTTTGAAAAAAAAAAAAAAAATGAAAAATAATACATAATAACCATCTCAAAATAACTTGTAAAGAGTAAATATGTTATTAACGTTATATAGATTCTAGAACTTTCTAATCTCTCCGTTAGAGTGTTAGAAGATGAGTTTAAAGTAGATATTTAGTTTATATATCTCTCTCACAATCGGTTAGATATAATGAAATGAAATAAAAAGCAAATGTAACAGAGAGGTTTTGAGTAAAATACATATACCTATGTATTTTTTTAAACATTTGTGTTACAATATATATACAGTAACTAATGCATGAAAACAAATAAATAAATAGGTTTTTTGTAAACCTTCGATTTTTTCAAAAAAATTTGAAAATAAAGTTTATTTATCATTGTTTATATAAAACAAAAATCAATTGTGTCGATTTGATGGAACAAATTAAAAATACGGGACATCAGGGGAACACGTTGTTCTTATACTAAATACAAATTGTATTGTCTGGTTACTAAAAAAATCGAGCTTACGATCTGGTCCATTTTCTTTTACAGATCCCCATCCAATGGCAATACACATGGATTGCGGCGATGGGCTTACTTTCCATTCAGGACCCACGATATTTAACGCTGGTAAGCAAACTTGGCGAACCCATCGATTGAAAAGAAGAGATTCATCCAACATGATTACTGCAATGTCATTTTGCATTTCTTCTTTTACGTAATTTGGATGAATCATTACGTATTTTACTTTTCTCCACTGTGCCATGGGTGAAAATGATAACCGTCTGAGTATACCGGCTTGTATTTCGTAATAATGCCCTTCATATCTGAAAATTATTAGCAGACACATCTTAAATCGATAAGAAAAATATCTGCGTTTAAGAAATACTAGCGTCGTCTGTATCTGCAATATATTCGTTGTATGTTTAAGTAATCTTTGAAAACGCTCATACCCATCCATACAATGACCTGCGGTGAGTATATAAACTTCACTTAAGATGACACCACCGCAATGGAAAAAACCGTCTTTATAAATAGCGACCAGAAAAGGCCAAGCTCTAGGCTGACTTGCTCGGCCACCGACTACTCGCAATTGCGATCCGACGAGGGTATCGTTGATCTGCTTTTGCATTTTCTTCTCGGACATGAACTGATTCGGCTTCAGAAGCCTCAGTGTCTCCTGGTACAGCTTATTAAATCCCACAATTTTCAAAGGAAATTGTTCCTCCATGTGTCTTCTAGACATGTAATTATTCTTTGTCGTGTTGAAGGCGGGAGAGAAGTTCTGACGTGGAAAGGCTTTGGTGCCGCAAGGTAACGGCGGACATTTGACAAATACTGCTGTGCCCGGGCATGACGTCATTTTTATATCATTATTGTCGGATTCTACCACGTAAAGATTTTGAAAGCTCTCAGACATACGAACAGTTTGTATTTCTGGCATTGTTCTGTAAAGATGTATCAATTTATTAATAAATTGCAAATATACTTTTTAATACAGAAATTTAATTAATTTTATTAGTAAGTATTTGTATTTCTAAAAGTATAACTAATGCTTCGTTCAGATAGAATCAAATATCGTTGGAAACACATTATCGACAGCAAAGTTTTCTACAAAATAAAATTTTAAATTTCAAAAATTATGAAATTTATATTTAGGTATTAATTCATCACATTTTGTCAGACTGTTGCCGACAAAAATTGACAACAACATTCTTGAGGCTTCCACGAGTGCTTTCTATATAAAGATTATGCGTTTCGCGGGTTTCTTTCGTGTCCAGATCCATTCTTGACATTCTAAGAATGAATCTGGACACGGAAGAAACCCGCGAAACGCATAATCTTTAAATTGACAACAACTTCAAAATATGGATGGACAATATTGTCTACAAGGGCCTCAGATCACAAAGATGAACCGTAACTGAATCGTGAAATGTGTATACATATATGTTGTTGTACGCACAATGTTTTGGCGTAACTATTGCATGTCAATACGATACATGTAGTTACTGATTACGACTCACGTTTTACGACGTTACGACTCAGTTTCGACCATTTGTGTATTGAAACTCTTTAGTTTCGATTTCGAAGTGATAAAGATCGAAAGAATGTCGGCGATAAGTGTCATCGATATATGTATATAGATATACAAAAAAATATACAATCGGTATGTTTGACAATGTATCTATCAGATATATGGGTGATAAATTACAGTAATTATCATTTTTAATACTAGATTTATATTCGACATGTTTGACAATCTATCTGATAGATTGTCGGATATAAATCTAGTAATAAAAATGATAATTACTGTAATTTATCACCCATATTCATCTCTTTATATATTTTTGTTATCTATAATATTGATGAAAACATTTCTTGGCTTGGATGAAGTTTAATAGAGAAAAGCTCCTTATTATGAGATAGCGGCGTTTCTGCTAAACTAATAAACCCTATTTATTAGTTCCACCATAAATTTATTGTTCTTGGATTAAAAACTATTTAGTAGAAAATTCATTATTACATCATGCCTGTAGTCATTGTAAAACAAAATTTTAGAATTTGGATGTCTTCAAATTTCATTGAGATGAGCATTTAAATCTTGTTTATTATTTAATAAATAAATATTTGGTAATAAATTCTTTATGTAGTAATAGAGTAAGGTCATACTAATAGAAAAACGGGATATGTTAAATTATTTAATTATAAAAATTAGATTTAATGATCGTAAAACCATAAAGCGTAATATGAGATCGTAATATGAAATAACCTATGCTCCTATGATAGTGAAAATCGTTGCTAAAGTATAAATGTTATTGTACAATAATAAAAAAGACAATCGGAATGAACTATCGAGTGCCTATATTTGTGATGCTTGATTTCATCTATCTGAAAACGAGTTCTAGGTATAATCTATCGCATGCTTATTTTTCGCACACGTTGATTGTGTTTGTTTGTATTTGAGAAACATTAAATAAAGTTTTTTATTGCAATACTGATATATTTTGCATTTTACTATCGATTTCTCGAGGCATCTCATATTAGGAACACAATTTTTTGACTTTGCGATTTGCTCACTTTTTACATTTCTTTAATTTTTAAAATTTAATTTAAAAAAAAATGGAATTTAAATTAAATTTTATGTAACATTATTTTAAAGCTTATTAAATTCCCTTCCAAATGACCTATTATTTTTTGAAATTCTGCCAATAGACTTCTAACATTTACTCAAAATAAACTTGGCATCTCATAATTAGGGGTCTTTCCTCTATAAATATGTTATAAATGCATATGATTAACAATTAAATTAAAAATTAAAATTGCGTTTGTCGATGACATACGTTAGCGGCAAACCAATTTCCGATTCACAAGCATCCATCGCCCAAGATAATGTCTTTGAGCAAACGGGATGCCATTGCCCTCGTACATTCTTATGTAAGTATCCTTGAGTATAACCAACCGCAAAGATCTATAATCGAAATAATGTATATATATATATAAAAAGATAAATTAGAAAATATTTATCATAATTTTCTATATTACATGAGTCGACTGAAAAGTAATATATAGCACATAACTCGTCAACGAAAAGAGATATTCAAATGAAACAAAAAAGGCACTTTATTGGCTACAAGAACGTATTACTACTTTTTATTTTACCTCACAACTTACAACTATATATTTTTCTTAACGGTAAATCAGTTTTCTCATTCGGTTAATGAAGAATTCCGCTGATCTTTTCTTATTCCACTGTGATCTTCAGTTCATCATCCGAAAAATGAATCCTAATGACATTCATCGTCGTTTACAAGCCGCATAGTAATAAAACTGTTGATTGAAACGAATAAGTGTGCAATAAAATTTCGTCCATTGGAAGCTGACAGATTTGGTGCCTTGTGGTTTATATTTTTTCAAATATAAAGAGGTATCTTAAGAGCATTTATTTTACTACGGATAATGAAGGGCACAGTGAAGTCGTAGATCGAGGAAAGGTCGCCGGAATTCTTTATTAACCGAATGAGAAAACTGATTTACCGTTAAGAAAAATATATAGTTGTAAGTTGTGAGGTAAAATAAAAAGTAGTAATAAGAAGACCGATTTACCGTTGAGAAGAATATAATTGTAAACGATGATTACTTTAAAAATAATGGTACGTTCTTATTAACAAAATGCACTTTCATGCCTTTTTGTTTCTTTCAAATATCTCTTTTCCTTTACAAGTTATGTGCAACCATGCGTTACTTTTCAGCTGACCCGCGTATTAAATTTTAAGTTATTTAAAACTTTTATAGTAAATGTATAATTATCTCATCGCACATACATCGTTTGAACCCATATGTTTTAGAAGCATATTGCAGTCGAGCTCGTCCTTTCCGTTAGGACAATGTTTTATCCCGTCGCAACGTTGCGAAAGTAATACGCAATTATTGCTATTGTAACGCTTGTCCCAGTTGTCACAATTGAAAGATTCCATTGGGCAACCTAAAAAAATTTAAACATTCAAATTAAAAAATGCGTGCATTTTAAATCCTTTTTCTATATTTATATGTAAGATTATATATTTTAAAGGATAAATATATCATAAATTCATATTTCAAGCGATGAGATTATGTTTTGTATAAATCGCTTGCATGAAGAAGTTTCGTAGATAAAGTAGTTTCTAAGTTTAATATATCAGTATTTAGCGTCATCTGCTGGACAACTGCAGTAATATAAAAAAGTAAATAATATATTATATATATGATATATTATTATTTCTTCAATAATGCGGTAATGGCTGAATATAATTGCCTACTGATTCTCAATTAGTTTTTATTATATTCAAGGCAATCGTAATGCTCAGTTGGTCACTTAGGTTTCTGCTGTACCACATATATCGCTTTAATATTTATTTGGCTAAAAAATAAACTAAGTTATAAGTTATAACTGTAAAAAAATAATAGTAACAAGCCCGTTAAAATTTGAATAGATTAATTATTTTTGGCAAAAATACACTCTTTTATATATTGTATACATATGCATATATACATATGTGTATATAAACGTATTGTGCCAAAAAATATCGAAAAAATTCTTATCACATACAAAATGCAATACAACAAAAGCGAGCAAAATTGAATTCTTTTTCATTTATTAAAAAAAAAAATATATATATATATGTACACATATATATATATATATATATATATATATATGTACATTTAAATATATGTATGTATATGTATATTTGACGAAATATCTATTTTTACCAAAACAACCGAGCTCATCCTCTCCATGTGGACAATCGAAATAACCGTCGCAGAGTCGATTTCGTGATATTCGATCTCTGCAGGAGCATCTCGTTTCGTCGCTAGCATCGGCGCAATCGACACGGCCGTCGCACCATTTTATCCTTGGGATGCAATATCGATTATCGCACTGATGATAATTTATAGGACATTTGTTGAGCGTAGAAAATTCTAAAATAATTATCATGCCGTTAAAACTGACGCTCTAATTGATTTTCTTGGAAAATTTCAATTTTCAGTTTCAAGTTTTACATTTTCAGAATATGGTAAAAAGAAAAATAGATATCGCTCCCTTACTTCAAAAGTGATATAACAAAATCGATACAACTCAAAAATTATGTTTCCCAGAAAACAGAAAAATTATTTTCAACTTGACAGAAAATTAATAATGAAATAATATCGGTAAAATATATTCTAACGATATATTCTAACGTCACAATTATTAAACAAAATCACTTTTTTTTAATTGTAATGATTTTGATAATTTTTTTAAACATTTTTTTCAGAGGCCGTAACATTCCTTTTGAGAGTCTTTAACATTCATTGTAACGAATTTTATAATTTTTTATGAAATTAAATTAATATTTTTGATTATAAATAAGGTAATGTTTATTTATTTGTAGTAATACTCGTACATCTCTATATGAAAATCACGTTTTTTTTTTTAATTGTATCACTTTTGATGCAAGGGAGCGATATAATAGTTAAAATAATTAAGATAGATAAGATAAAATAAATATGTTAGATAAATAAGAGAAATGATACAGAGATAAAATTAAAAAATTGAAAAAATCCTCGCAGGAAATCTGCAAAACTTTGCTTACGCGGATTATGCTGCGTAATAACACCGACTTCATGAGGTAATTTTTGTGATTCTTTTGGAAGGTCTTTAACTTCGCCGACAGAGCGGTCGGATTGCGAAGTGTCAGATATCGGTGGAAAGTGAATCGTCGATAGTGACATATAACCGCAGAAATATGGCATGTTTGCAATTGGTTGCTGGGACATTGCGGTTGATTGCTGATTCAACGAGAAGATTGGTGCGTTTGGCATGGCAGGTCTCGTAGGACCGATAGCTTGACCAATCGATTGAGGTAGACTGCCAGCGTAGCTCAATTTTGGCATAAATGGCATAGGCGTATTCGCTTGTATCTGCATATAATTTGGCGAGAGGCCTTGGTGAAGTGGGTTTTGAAACGGAAATCCGCGATGTTGCATTGAAGAGGGACTTGAGTAAAATGCTGATTCTGGAGATAATGGAATGTTGGAAGATTGGTCGGGATAGCCAAAGAAACAGACTGGATGTGGCATTGTCCACGTTGTGGGGGTCAGTTGTAAGGATTTCGCGCTCTCCATGGCTACTGGAATAGGTTTGCTGTTGTCTTTTATCTGGAAATGATCGGCCGGCATGAACTTCTTGTTATCATGGTGATTTTCTTTCAATTTTGATCCTGCAAGTATATCTTTCTTAAAAATTTCTATTATTATTTTGAACAAATCGTAAACATTTTACAGAGGACAGAAGTACATAGTAAAAAAATATATTTTATTTTGTATAAAACCGATCTTTGTTGAAAATTTTTGTATTAAATTTTTATCATACTTAAATGTTAATTTAACACAATGTAATTTTGTTATATTATGATAATTTAATGTCTAAAATTTTTTAATGATAATATCACAATTTTAAAAATAAATGAAAAAATGTAAATAATGTAGTTTTAAAATAAATTTTAAGAATAAATGAAAAATGAATATATGTATATGTTAATTTAACATATAAATGTTAATTTTATGGAAGAAATATGCTTTTTCAATTTATTTTTAAATTGCATCAAAGTATCACATTTTTTGGTGTTAATTTTTACATTAATGTTACAGTAATGTTACATTGTAACATCTATAACACATGCATTTATTTTGTTAAATTAATGAAAAAATTTGGATAAACTGTTTGGGTTATGTAAAATGCGTTATATATAATTTAATACAATTTTCCAACTGTGTACTGCAAGAATAATAACAGTCTGGAAAAGTTTAGTATATATCTGCCTCTGATTTCTAAGTTAAAGATACTTCCTCGATACGATTTAATTTAAAATCGTATTGAGCGTTTTATGTTATGTATATTATAAATATTCCGAGACTTGCAACTTATACGAATGATGAAACTTAATACTTATTCGTTTCTGCATTCCAAATATTTTTTGATAAACTTAAAAAATATGGAATATCAAAAATAGTAGAGTAAACTCTATTTTTGATATTCCATATTTTTTAGTAAACTCTACTATTGAGTAAACTCTACTTTTGAGTAAACTAAGTCTTTAGTGTGTCTTAGACTTAGTGTCTTTAATTTAGAAATCAGAGGCAGGTATATACTAAACTTTTTATATCTTAAAGAAGCACATTCATAGAATACTCGTAAATATTGATGTGTGTAAGTAGCAAGCGACTCGCGATTAATTATTTCACTATGTACTCGTTTTCTAATATGCATTCTCCCCGATTGCATACCATTCGTCGCTGTAGTCGATTGATTTTCCGGGAGTCCCTCGAACGAAGGATGCACTGAAGGATGCACCGTGTTGCCATTGATTCCGGTCACGTTGTATCCCACTGGCACACTCGTCACGTTTTCAGTAATCTGCTTCGTAAGATCAATGATGGTTCGTATTCTTGTTTCGGTTGTTCCTATCGAATCAGCTGCAATTGTGGATTTCCTGGATTTTCCATTATCTTCTGTAATAGTGCCATAGTACATTCTTGTACTACTCGATTCCATGGACAACGGCTTTACGCTCGTGACACCTTCGTTTATGGTTATTATACTTTGTTGTTGATCATTTTTCGACACTGCAGGAACGCCTTCGTTGTTTTGACTTTTTGTCACACGCGAGTCATTTACGACTGAATTACTATCGGACCATTTGACATTAAAGTCTGAATTATTACTGTCAGTGTCATTTACATATATCCGTTGGCTTCCATTAGAATTTGTGTAATTAATTGATACGGTACTGGTTTCCGATATGCTGGTGTCTTTCAATGACTGATTTGTGGCATTTTGTAATGGATTATTGATAACTGAGTCCGTTTCCTGCAGTTGAATATTTGCCGCTTTTATCTGATTAACTTCCGATCGCTTTGAGCCATTTTCAGCCTCTCTGTCATCCAGTAACTTGATGGTAGTGCTGAAATCGCTCGAGCGATTTTGCTCGGCATAATCATGCGGGAAATATCGATCTTTCAATCGTGACGTATGATCTTCATCATTTTCATTCGCGATATTCATCTGTTTACACTCAAGACACTTTAGAATATCTCTAGGCAATGATTCTTCGCCGTTTGTCGTTGGAAACTTATTATTGAGAGTCACAAGATAGTGTTGCACCGTTTGCAACAATACCTTACAATGTTGCTCGTTCAGAGCGCAATCTCTTCTTTTGCGAGATATCTCCCGCTTGAAACGCGTGTCAGCGTCTCTTCCATTTATCGTTAGAAATGTGTCGTCTTTTACAACTTGTGTTATCTGGCTTGTAAGCTCCGTCTGATCGCTAAAAGATGGGTCTCCATCGATCACTTTTCCAACCCGGGACTTCAATAATGATCTTCTGCTGAGAGGAGAGCCTAGTCTGATCACTCGCTCTAAACGTGTTTCCGGTTGAATGCGAACTGAAAGAATCATGGTAGAAGAAACGATTCTTCAAAAACATCGGCTGGAAATTGGCGATTGTAAGGACGAACTAGAGCAAAATTTTAGCAAGAAAAACAGTATGTGCTTCTACAAACACACGTAATATTTACTAATTTTTACCTGAAGCATTATGAGTATCATGTCCTGACATTACAGAAAACATAAAATTGATATTCGTCATAAAAAGTACAATCAATAAGATTGAAATCGCTCCAATCAAAAGAATATATTTGTGCCGTGCATAAAAATTCGAATATCTACGTCCGCTTGACTTCGTCATGCATTTGTTAGAAGTTACACCTAAAATTGTAATTAATATTAATCTTAAAATGTTGAAAATACATATATATTGTAACAAAGCAATATTCACAATATAGATTTGTTCGCGTTGCTCGAAATTTTTGCACTTAAAGTAAGATGAGTATAATGTATTCGGACGTTGAAAAGAGAGAAAGTGATGATTTTAAACGCAAAAAGTGCAAGCAATTTGAATAGACCTATTGGCATTCTTGAAGGACTTATCCAATTTTAATACAAGATGAATGCTGAAAAAAAATTTAATCTTTGAATTTATAAATTCACCGATACTACAATAGATCTCTACATTTCATTACTCATAACTTTTGACCTTAAAATTTTAGAAAAAAATATTTCAGGTGAATTAAGTTGCTTGGTTTTTACGTAATCCGATTTTTTTCTTTGATAGGATTTGAAATTTTAAAGTTGCTCCCCTATTATCCCCTTGAAATAGAACTCCAAAAAATTATTTGTAACACACTTAAAAGAACTTTTTGTAACAACAAATCGTCATTATTTATCATATTTAGAAATCACTGGATATAAAAGTATCTCTAAATATTAGTTTGTAACGCTTTATTTGAGCTACCTTGTATATTCCTATGATTTTTAATTTATTATTAAGATGCTCTTCAAGATTGTCAATAAAGAACTAGATAATATATAACTGCAAGATATGTGTTTCTCAAATATCAATTGTCAAATAATAAAAACTTACCTGTATTTCGAATTCTTGAATCCGTCAACACAACACAACATGGTGAATCAATTGGAACATCGATCAATTGCAAAGGTAGGTTTTTATTTTTATCGGTGTGCAGTTTATTTGATTTATCCAAAAGACGCACTAATTACGCAAAAAAAAATTAACAAAATAATATTAATTTAAATATAAGTCTTAATTAAATTATACAAAATTCTTGAATATAGCTATGTTATTGACTTACTTTTGATTAACTTCTAAGTTTTTTTATAACTATGGTGTCGTTTTATACGAAATTCCTAACTTTTGATCTTCACACGAGATTAGACCGGCAACGACTAAACCCTGGATTTGATAGACAGAATTCTTCACCACGGTGCGACAGAGAAAAATTGCTGACAGCTTATATCGTCTCCTATTACTTTCATGTGAATGAACCCTTTACACGCATTTCGACAAGTGTCTCTGTCGCTGAGCTTGCAAAAATCTGTAAATGGAATTCTTGATTTCCATTGCAAAAAACTAAAATGTTGATTTCAGCGCGCAAACATAAAGATAAGAATTAATTGATCTTTATTGTACAGATCTGAAAACTTAATAAAGTTTTTACGTTTTGTGTATCTCTCATACGCTCAAGGAATACAACGCTCACGATTAATGACTCTCATTTTCAAGTAGAGACTTTTTTTTGAAACTTCCAAATCTTAATGAGAAACTATTACTCTTCATTGTGGAAAGTTTCGCAGCTTGTAAAGTTATTTCTGTCTAACGGAAAAATGGAGTAAAGTGCCAAATAATATTTTTTATTGAACGAAAAGTTAACTTAAACAAAGCTGCCTCAAGAAATTGTCTTCTTTAAAAAAGGAGTTGATATACTCCTATCTTCATATGCAATTAAATAGAAATCGTATATTTATATAAATAAGAGCACATTAGAATAAAACAATTAATTTAAGAAATAAATAAAACTATTAAAATGCGATAAAATGTATGTTTATTCTCTTCTTAAAGAATATATATTTATTTTTATTACTTTATTTTCATTTATTTTTCATAGTTTTCTATGTTTATTATATTTTTATAAATATATTACTTATTATTATTATTATTATTAGGCGTTAGGAACTCGAAAACTCATTGCCGCAAATACCAAATCCCGCCACTGTTCCCGTCCCTGAGCCAGATTCCTCCATTTGTGACCCTCGTACCCCATTTCGTTAAGGTCCATTCTAATATTTTCTTCCCATCTACGTCTTGGTCTACCCAATGGTCTTTTCCCATCCGGTTTACCAATTAGTACTTTATATGCAATTCGATTCTCATCCATACGCGCCGCGTGACCTGCCCATCTTAATCGACGCGATTTTATGACATTAATAATATCCGGACTATTATATAATTGATGTAATTCTGCGTTGTGTAATTTTCTCCATTCGCCCGTTTCCTCATCGCGTTTTGCCCCGATGATTTTTCATATTAAAAGTATTTTTTTTAATATTAAAAGTATTACTAACAGTATTTTTAATACTGAAAATAAGTGATTAATTGGTCAGTATTACATTTTTATAAGAGTTTTATGAATATCTTTTTTTTCGTCTCTAAAATAATATTTGAGTGAGATCGAATAAAAATGACTTTTTACTTTGCGCAATTTACGGGCACATTTCTTCAGTATATTCAATTCTCCAAGAATAATTATCTACAAGTTCTTAATTAATTTGTTAATTGATTTATCTACAAAGTTAAATTACAAACAAAAAAAAGAATGAATGTTTTAAATTAATAGATATGACATATTTCCGATATAAAACGACTAACTAAAATTATTTTTATTATTACGACTGTTTAATCATCAGCAATGAATAATTCAATTACACATCCGCATGCTGTCGATGTATCAGACCAGCACTTTGTTACGCTGAAATTACTTGAGCTATTGTAGAGACGATAATTGCACAATCCACCACATTTTACTTTCTCTTGTGAGTACTCGGAGTCGCTACGGATCGATGAAAGTGACAGTCTGCGTTCTGACGTTACGCCGAAGTACACGATTGTTCCGACAATTTCATTTATCCGATTGTGACTGCAATTAATTTGTGACCGTGATTTGATCGTGTAATGAGTAAATATGTATAATATGAGTAAAGACATAAATCTTTAACAAGGAATTACCTTTGAGACTTATCTGTGCGACGAATGACAAATTGTTTTTCGTGGAAATCGGAACGATTTGAATATTACATCGATTTGAATATTATTGTACATCGATTTGAATATTATAAGATTTATTAATTACAATACACACAATTAGACATTTACTGAAAATTTAATTAATGCAATTAATCAAAATTAATCAAAGCTAATTGAATGGAAACACATTGGCACAGTATTTCTAAATTGTCAAGTGCATTAAGTTCTATATATGATACTTTAAAGTAAATAATTTTTATATTACATTCTATTAGATAACATATTTAATATATTTGTGTAAATGTAATAGGTTTTGTAATTTTATTAAGTGTAAGAAATTATTGCCGTTTTTCAATTGAGATTATATTACAACATCTGAATACCTCATGTAAATGTGCGCTATTTTGATTTAAATCTGATGAATATATCGCGATATAAATTTTGTAAGGAATCCATTCACTTTTCAAATAAGATCTTAAGAGCGAGAGAGTTTCTCGCAAGTCAGACGACAGGAGAGAAATTTTTTTTGAGATGACTGCCATTCATTATGCTAGAGCTTTCCATAAGAAAACATCTCTAATGACACTTGTAAGTATGTATTAAGAATTTAATACAATTAACAATAGAACAATTATATTTTTCTTCATAATTATGAAACGTAAATAAATTTTCTAAAGATAAAAAAAATGTTATATTCTAATCACATAGCATTTAATGTACAAGATAATTTACAATACACAAAAATGCTAAGTTGTGTATTGTGATTACACTTGAGTGATTACTTTACATTTATAAAGTGTAATAGATTTTAAATCTTATCCGCGCGCGTATATTCAATTGTTTGAGAAATCACGGGAAAGATAGCAAGAAAAATAATGCTGCTTTGCATACTCGTATTGAAATCAAAGAAAACCGGAACGTTGAATGTACTCTGCTTTTTTTTTACATTCTGCACAGTCATTTGTATTCGTACCGTCTTCTGTTTAAAAACCGGTCTTTCACCGGTCACAATATTTTTTCCTTTTTCTTTTGACTATTCACCGAGAGAGATGTTTAAATGCACACTAAGCGGACTTATTTTTGCCGCCTTAAGTTTTGTTAGCATTTTTTAATTCTGAGAAAATGCCGTCTGTTATAAATTATGTGCGTGTAGCTTAAAATACAGTCGTTTTAAGTCTTCGAACTTTTCAGGAAATTACGTGCGACGTAATAATCCTTATGATTTCTATACAGTAGCAATAATAACATTAACTTACATAATAATTTTATATACACGTGCACACAAATGAAAATAAAATATAATAAAAATAAAAGTATTTATTGTTTACATTAAACGTTATTATAAACATTTCATATTTTATTGTTTATTCAGTTCTATTATAAATATTACATATATTGCATTTATATATTACATTCAGACTGGGTTGTTCCATTTTTCGATAACCTCAACTTATTTACTCTTTTTTATTTAATAAATAAATTATCACATAGCTTATCCAGAGATGTAGTAATCGCGCGACTTTTATATATTATTACATTTATAATTATATAAATTTACCTCTTATTTAATATTACTTTTCTTTACTACTAAATTAGCTAGTCGAAACATGGATCAAAGTTTAAGTGCCTTTTCTGTTAAGCTCCCACTTTATGTGGGTTATTAGAAAGTAATAATATTATTTAACACACTCTAGATGGTCTTGGTCTCTTAAGCCCACTTTATACAATCTATATTTTACGACAGAATTCGAAACGGAAGTCTATTTATAATTTTATGTATCAAATTATAAATATAATTATAGATGAGAAAGATATCCTGCATATACAATAAATACGATACCAAATATATATAAGTTAAGTAGTAATTATGTTATTCATATATGGATCTTTTTTACCTATCCGATTTAGACTCTCTATTTGCTACGCTTATAGATTTTTAATTTCCATTAGACTAGATACCATTGAACAATCATTGTATTTATATCCTGCGCATATTTGTGATGAATCTTTTATATATAGTTATAAATTTATAATTCTGATTATTTACATGTTTTCTGTATTATATTAGGTTAAGTAAAAAGTCATCA